AGTTTTTTTTTGGAACGTTATACTATTTTCCAGGACAGAGAATAATTGAATAACGAAGATTCATTAGCAACATTAAAATCAAGAAGCATCTCATGCAAACATGTGTCATCATTTCTATATCAAGTTCTACTGACGAACTACAAGTTATTTTGAATAAATACTGAAATCTTTGTAAAATTTATCTGATTCATTAATGAGTATTTGAAAAAAGATCAACTACATTGTACTGTTTATTGCTGATATTGACATGATAATAATTCTTCTTACTATATTTTGATAGAAAATTGATTAATTGTTGAGTCAATTGATACTGTAAAAATACTAGTGAAATCAATTTTTAATCTTTTTCTTTATTGAATATTATGCTTGAGAAAGTGGAATAACAATTAAAGGTATTAGATTCAGTAATTTTATATTGTCTCTTGTACAACAGGTAGTTCATAAAAATCGAAAAGTACGTTGATCTTTACTAGTCATGTTATTGAGTAGTACGAGAACTGTTGTACTCTATTATTATATGTGTCTGCAACGTATAAATTGAATTGACTGTCCAGTATCACGGAATAAGGTTTGTAAAGCAAAGTAGGAAGCGTACCAGACAAGCCAGTGCGCCCGGCTATGGTTGTGCCATTAGATTGACCAGTGAGATAAAACTGTATGCGATGATTGCCTGAATCCGCTACATACATATTCCCATAGCGATCTATTGTTACACCTACAGGCTGATTTAGTAGTATCGATGAACTGCCACTTGTTCCAGAAGTACTACCAGCAAGAATTGTCCAAGTACTTGCACCTATCACCCAACGAACAACATTATGATTATGATAATTGGCAATTATTAAACTGTTTGTGGATGAATCAAAAGTAAATCCGTATGGAGAATATAATTGATTTAAACCAGTTCCTGCTCCATTTCCACCAGCTACGACAGTGCCTGAGGAAGCATTTGATAGATATCTCATTATCCTATGATTATTAACGTCTGAAATATACAAACTGCCTGTGCTTGGATCGCATTCAATTACATTGGGCTCATTGAATTGATTATTCGCATTTCCAATAGAACCTGAAAATATTTTGAATAGAATGATGTTTAATGGAAGGATCTCAGTGAGAATGCGATTATGAGCTTGAGTGACTGTATGTATGTTGATAAAAAACAAAGATCTACATCCACATCCGTTTGTAAAAGTACCTTACACTTGAAGTTCTATACTACATAAAAAAGTGATGGCGTTAAAGAAATGTTTTCTATTATTCATTTTTATAGTTTCATAAACAAATCTTTATCTATTCATCAGAAGATGTATATATTACAAATAAGATATTTTTCTTCTTTTTTGTCAATTATTTTTTAACGTGCTAAGATCTATCAGACCTAACCAACTATACTAAATGCTACAAAAAAGTCAATCCTCATATATCTATTACCTGTTCCAGCAACGAGTGTACCAGATGATGCACCACTTTGCCAATACATAATCCTATTATTACCTTTGTCTGATACGTACATATTATCAAGTGAATCGAGTGCAAGGCCGACTGGTAATTTCAGAGTATTAGACGACGAACCTGATATTCCGCTTGCTAGGCCTGCAATTGTTGAACCATTTGAATTGCCTATGATCCATCGCTGAATCCTATTATTTATCGAATCAGAAATATAAAGAGCATTCGATGAATCGAATTTCAATATATAAGGTTGGTTCAGTTGACTTGCTGTTGCGTTCGGTATGCCTGTCGCACTACCAGCTACAGTGTTGCCTGTAGAATTCCATTGAAATGTAAAAGCAGTGGCTAGAAAAGAAAGTGTTCAGCATATATCAGTATACAAGGGTGTGGGTGTATGAGATGATGTTGATATCTGCAGACATACTCTAAACCACCTTACACTCTGAAATCAAGCAAGAGTTGAGAAAGCTTGATGGTTCTGTACAGATAAGATTGGATATTCGAACTAATTATTGATTAGAAAACTACTAAAAATCAACTGGCATATTACTAACTGGTTGTTGATGATGATGTTGTTGACGTTGATGTTGATGTTGTTGGTGTTGACGTTGACATTGATGTTGTTGTTGATGGTTCGGGTGGAAAAGTTGTAAAGCGAAAAGATCCATTAGTGATTTTTTCCCAATGAAAATCACTCGCTGAATAATTGCTTATCAATTGACATGTATTATTACTTGTCACACAGTTCCATCCAACTGCACCAACTGTTAAAGCTGCACATGTACATTCAGTACATGTCATATTTAAAAATATTTTGTTAACATCTACTGTAACCAGGATCATATTCGAAATTATTCCAACTTGAATCGAGAAGACAGCGTTGGAAACGAGCAATAATATTAACAGCATATAGCTATTGAAAGAGAAGTATGATAAATCGATAAAAACCATTATGAGATCGGTTCCTTCGCTCTGTATATTATCGTATCGTATGAAAAGAATTATATCTGAAAAACAAACTTAGCTAAATGTTTCGGTTGTTTATATTTATTATAAGACATTTCAAAATATAAAATCTGTACTTGTTGTGACTGACGAAGCTGCTGCTGCAAAAAATAAACAATAAGTTGGATGAACATACGAGTTAAACTTACAATAAAAGATTAGAAAATTTTCAACTGAATTATTAGATGTATCGATAAAAAATATTGAGAACAAGAACTATATCTATGTTTAATTGTAATACGTTTGCAGTAGTTGCTCGATCACTCCTAGACTAGAAGTCCACTAGCGTCTAACTTTGACTTATTTACAATTAAAGTGTCATATTTAATTGCGACCTAAAAATCAAAAACAGAGAATATGAGTTAGTTTTAAACAAAAAAGAAAACATTTATAGTAAAAAAACTTTGCTGTTAATTCATACAGATCAAGTCAAATAAAGAATCAGTGTGAGAACATTATGATAAAAATACTAACCTTCACTAATACTTCTCTGCAACAAAGAAAAAAAATTAAAAACCAGTTTAGACAATTTTTTTATATTACCGTAGATAATAAAAAGACTTTTCAAACGTAATAGAGTGAATACTATTGTAGATTAAAAATAATATCTTAAAAAAGATTATATAAAAACCGTTAAAAGAAAGCAATCTATGCTGACAATAGGAACTGTCTTCATGCTCATTTTTAGCGATTTTTCTACCAAGTTTTGAGTTCTTATTACAACTACACCCTTTCTTTCTTTCAAAAATGTATGGTTTGAACACATAGCAGCTTCAAACTTAGACGAGTAATAAATGAAAAATATTCACTTTTGCAGCGTTTTCTAATTATTTGAGCACTTATATTTATGAAACAATGCCACATGGATACTGAGAGAAAATAAAACCTGTAACAATCTTAATTGACTATGGAACCGTGTCTTTACTTCTATTGTGTTTTGTTTCTTTCTTTCTCTCTCTATTTCCAACACGGTCAGTATACATAGAAACACAACAAATGTAAAAGAATGAGCGAAGAAAAAGAATTCACTTGATTAACATAAAAAACGTTAAATATTAAATATTTTTATTTACAGTATTGTTTAGTTGTGATTGAGATAAGAACTATATTTAATTACACTGAGATTCGATTAAGGACTAATGGATGTATATCTAAAGAATAAGTCGATTTAACGAAATTTTCATAAAAATAAGTGTCTTGAAATATTTTTTATGTAATTATTATTCTTATACACGCTTTTGCATTGTAAATACTTGAGAGAAAGTAATTCATCGAAGTCATATGAATGGCGTTGATCTAATGTAAAATCTAACATTATTTACGATTGGTATTTCAAAAGAAATCGAAGATCAGTAAGAAATACATATATATTATAAAATAATTGCATTTCAAATAAATGTCTTTTGAAAACATATTGTTTCTCTCGAATCAAGTAAAATCATTCATTTCTTCTGACTATCAACAAATAAAGGAATTTGTGAATGAACATATTATTATTTATATACTTATTTACAATAAAATCTAGTTAAGATCCTCTTGTATTGATGTGACACATTTTAACAAGAATCCACTTATTTTATTTTAAAAAAAATCTCGCTTTTTTTGCTGTAAACATTTTGTATTACACTAGAGTGACATTGATATGACTTCAAATAATATAAACAATAAACTTTTTTACTAAATGAAATTCCAACACAAACGGGATATAGGAGTATAACTCGTCATTCAAAAAGTGAGAATACAGCACGTTTTCCGTAGATGGATATTTCCTCAAGTAGATAGTTAATCATAAAAATATAAAATTCTCAGAAATTTTATTCATGAGTTAAACAAAAAGCATCTTGAGCGTGTGGATCTATGAATGTGTCAACTGAAGACACCAACACTCACCCAATACCTACTCACATCCTCAAGATGTTTGATACGTTTATTTGAGCGAAGATTTATTATTGAAAGGAAAAGTAAAAGAAAGAGCCTCTGATAATTCTCACACTAAGACCCATAGCAACACCCAAACTTACACACAAAGATAATAAAAATCGTTTATTAAGAAGAAAGTTGAGTTGTCGAGGTATCCAATTTGACGTCGTAATAATCCCCATTTGCTTTTTCTTCATCAATAAATATTTCAATAATTTATCTATAATGTTAAGAAAAACTGGTTCGCTACGTTTTGTCAATAATGTAATTATGCAAATGAAGTTCAAAGAAGATATCTCCTAAGACATTCTGTACAATAGCTAGAAACAAACAAGTCATATATAGGTCTGTGTGATCCATAATGGTGTGGATGTGGGTATGACTCGTTGTTATCTTTCATTCATACTCACACCTACATCCTTACTCAACTATGACGTACAGTATTGTTCGCTTTCTTCGATTCATGTATTAGATTGTAATTTTTGGCTAGAGATATTTTTAACAAACTGAAAATCAACATGATGTTGCTTCATGTAACGTATAGAACACATAAATAATAAATAACGCTTTTTGTTCCATTTGTATACTATACCTTCATTTGATTTTGTCGTGAAATCATCAAATATAATATTAGGAACAAGTAAATTCAAAGAATGTTTTATCCACACTCTATTCAATCAAGTTAAAGAACAAAATATTTTTCTCTATTGTATATTAGCTTGTCATTAATACATTAGTTCTACTGGTTATTACGATGTTACTATCGACATTACGTTTCTGCTTTTTCCTTCTTCAAACAAGTAATTTCATCACTATGAAAAATCTATGATACATCACAAGTATAAACATACTTAAAACGAAAGAAGCAAAGCAAATAATACACTTCATTCCACCAACATAAAACACCACACAAGGCCACCACAATAATTTTGATCAATGTCGACTAAAATGCCTCTTACTATTCTTACATTACCGGTAGAAATTGTCTATCGAATTCTGGATCATCAGAATGATCTGACAATGCTCTGTTCAATGCGAAATGTTTGTCAACGATTTGATACAATCGTTGATAGCTACCATCGATATCAGGTAAACCTTTTTTAATCATGATTGACTATCTTTCTT